TATAGCCAAACTGGCATAACTGTTAAAATTCATTCTAATCATGTCGGTGTCAGAGCGACCGCGATCATGCTGGGGTCCGTCGCGGCTGGCTCATCATGACGATCTCCGGTCATCGCAATAAAGCAAGCCTTAGAAATTACAGCAAAGAAAAACGCTCCAGGATTTTCAAGGGACCTTTTTCAGGTGGTGATAAGGTGGAGGATCATTGTCACTTCACGGGCAAGTATCGTGGTGCAGCTTATGCAAAGTGCAACCTTGTTTGCAAAGTGCAAACTTTTTTTTCAGTTATCTGGTTATGATTCTAATCTCTTCAGTACGAAACTTGGAAAGAGTGAAGGAAAAATCAAATGCATTCCAAAAAAGCAAAGAAAATTACATCAGCTTCAGAAAAGAAGTGGCTGTTGGCAAATTCACAGACAGAGAAAGAAAAAAAAATCCAAAAGGATACTCGTTTCGACAGTAATTTATCACTTTCATTCGATAAATTACTGTCGAACGTGAGTCATGATAAATTGAAGGAAGCCATGAAAGTATTTGAGAAAGACAAAATCGATATATTCACAAGAAACGGTGTGTAATCATGTAATTACATGGATAACATAAAAAATTCAGTGAATCAGAATTACCCGGCTGCAAGTGGAAAAGTTCTCCTCATAGCTAAATGCTTGTTATATATCTGATGAAGATTATAAGCATGTACAGAAAATCTGGAAATACAGTGAGTGTTTCCATGATCATTATCTCAAAACTTATGTTCTTGGCAGAGGTGTTTGAAGAACAGAGAGATATGTCGCAAAATTATGGACTCGACCTTTCTTGGTGTTATAAAGCTCCTGGATTGGCTTGCGATGCAGTATTGAAAGATACAAACCAGTAATGAGATAAGAAGGAGATGAGAGATGGTAAAAAAAAAAAGAAGAAGAAAATGGCGAGCATAGTAAGTGGTTTGGTGGCGCCATTATCAATGCAACTGCATTTGTTGGTGGAAGTTATCTTACTAAATACGTGACTGGAGATCAAAATAGCGTTGTTGAAGAGAGAAAGAGACATGATCTCGCTGTAGAGAAATATAAAACTGCATGTGAGAGGTATTAGGAGAGTCACACAAAGCTTCTAGATTGGGTTGCATCTAGCGATAGAATTAAAAATCAGCCGGGTCAGAATTTAACTGATACTGACAATCCTTGAAATTTGACAATAAAGTTCATCAAGATAAACTGCATTAAGGGATTGAACCACAATTTTCAGACTTTTATAAGCCTTATGTTCTGGTTTTAGGATTGGCTGTTAGTCGTTTATTGTGAACTATTTCAAATGATAATAGAGTTCGGATATAACGCGCACTGTCTCTGGCTGAGACGCGTCCTCTATCAGAGTACAAGATACGGAGTTGAGGTAAAGCTCCCACGCCATCTGCCACTTCTCGGTCTTCTCTCTAGCTTTTTTACGTTAATTGGAAGAATAAGCGAGCCAGCATGTAGCAACAGAAGAACCATGCAAAGGTTTGTAAACATGCCGAGCGCCGTAATTGACGTTATTATCACGTGAGCAGAGACAAAAATTCACAAAGAGAAAACGAAAGGGACAGTTTTCAATCTCAATTAGATTGTAAGCTTACGTACGGTATTTAAAATTAAACACAGACAACGTTCGTATAGTGTATGTAGTTTCTTGTTCGAAATAAAACAGAAAAAAACGGGAATGATGAAAAATGTTACCAAACTGGCATAACTGTAAAAATTCATATAAATCATGGCGGTGTCAGAGCGACTGCGATCATGCTGAGGTCCATCGCGGCTAGCTCATCATGGCGATCTCTGGTCATCACAGTGAAGCAAGCCTCAGAAATTACATCGGGCGCCCTTCGAGTGAACAACATAGAGCTTGCCCTATGTCTTGCTCTATCCTTTCCGATGCGTTGAGTGACTGCTGCCCTACACTTCTTTCGCGCTTTAGCCGCTTCATGCGTGCTTTATAACTTAAAGGAGCACAGTCAAGGCTTCTCTCTCTATTAAATGGAATGTCGATTTTTGTCACGAAAGGAGCTTGCTCTGTCATTTTTACACTACTCGATGAGCGGAAAAACTGTGCACATACTTTATTATGGGCTTACTTCTTATTCAGTATCGCATACACTAATAAACAGTGCGACCCTTACCTTACCTTACCTTTCATGTTTGTACGCCCTCAGTTAGCAACGAATAGGGAAGAAACGACACAATTGCGATTTTTTGAGTAACAACTGACAACGGGCCAACTTACACAGCACCTATTTTTGTAAATGATGTTCTCTCTGGGTGGGATGCAGGAAAATAGTGGGGTAATAAAAGAAATTAATAGCCAATACAAGTAATACACGTATATCAGATAATTGAGCTTTACGATTGAAATTTGTTTTGCTTTCTCAGTGCCTCAGGTCGGGTCACAATAAACTTTCTGCTTGATGAAATACAGCTGTTTGTGAATTAGCTATAAGTAATAGAACATTATCAGAAGATTACGATAAATTGCATAGCCTATACGTCTTGTGAAGAATAGATAAGCTTCTCTTTTCTTTAATTTTTGCCGATACCCGTAGAGCCGGAAACACTTAGTTCATATAGCACTTGGGCAGGAATGAGATATGCAAAACTTAGTTTCCGAACCTAATTGTACTTAAAAGGAAAACTGGAAAATTTAGGCAGCGGGGTATTTCGCACAGAAAAGGTGTAATTTTTGAATATGAAAACTGTAAATGTATTGGGTGCGTGGTTTCTTTTTCTTAAAACTATAACCAGTGTCTCTAAATGACTCTAAGCTGGCTAAACCTGATGAATATGTCGCTTTTCTACATATTATGTTGTCCTTTAAGAGACCATTTCATGGCTTTTGAAAAGCCTACTCAAGCGATAATCATTATGAATAATAATATGGATGTGTTCTTATCCACTTAAACCTTTGGTTACCTGTCAATCAAACCCGCAATCCTCATGATGACTTTTTTTCGTTGTTATCATTTAATGTTTCTTGGTATCAGCTCTATTTTCAAGATTGCCAGCTAAAAGCTCCAACTCTACCCGAAACTGGCTCAAATGTGAGTCCAACCGAAAAAAAAAACAACAATTTTGATCGGCTGACCGCTAAAACTTTTGTGAACTGAGCGGAACATCATCTTATTGGGCACAGGAATTCGTGTTCATACTTCTGAGCGGTCATTATAGTAGTGCGCATTATATGAATACTTATTTTGAAAACTGTTCTCAAAATGAAAAAAAAAAGCACCCATACGACGATTTCATAGAGCAAATGGTAAAAGTTAGACCAAAGACATATATCTGAATATATTTTTTACGATTAGTTACTTACTAGTTTGCATCATGATCCTGCAACAATCTCAGAGAGCCAAAACACCTAGGCGGGCGAAATTATCACAAATGCACATCTTAAGAACATGTATCATAACAAACACAGCTTACGTCAAAGTCGAATTTAGCTTGGTTAAATGTAAACATGAAATATTAAACTTTTGAGTTTTTAAAGACATCTGCCTATTCAACCAAGTGAAATATATACAAGATAACATGATAACTTTGTTGTCAAACAAGCTGCTTAAAGTGAACTATGTAATGTTTGCAAAAAAGCATACTGAAAGGTGAATTCTAACAATTGCAAATTTAGCAGGGAGAAACGTCTATTTGTACTGGTAAGCTTTGTTTGAGAGATCTGAAAACAAAATTAGTATTGGAGATTGAAACTTTTTAAAATTTTTTTCGATAAGCAAATAAATAGGGTGACATTTTCCAAGAGATGTCACCACGCAAGGTGCGAGCTAAGTATTGCATAAGTTCTCAACATTTTTTTCTCCCATTTAAATTCACCCATAGTCTGCTTTTGCCGCTGAAAAAAGTATCGAAGAAGGGTGACAAAATAACCTTTCAATCACTGCCAGCACGCGTTTTTTGAGAAAAATTCGAAACACAAAAATTACATTTTTTAAATTTGACACAGAAATTGTGAGTGCTTCCTGAAGGAGGTTATCCTATTAAAGGAGCCCAATCCCAATGTTACGCATCTTTCCCAGCGTCCTTCACAAACCTATCGAATCATAAAGCTTTACTACAGACTGGAATTGTTTAAGACAGTATGTACACTTTTCAGCATTTCAATACCATAAGCATTTCTCTTTTCTTTCTCTTTTTTTTTTTTTCTACTAGCCTGTATTTTCAAGGCACTGTAATTGCTGATAAGCACTGAAAGTTTATAAAGGGTTGTTTATATCATAACTAGCTCTGTAAGAAGCACAACAAATTTGGTTCTTTGTGAGCACTGAGCCGTAGTAAAATCTTAATGTAGTTAAGAATGCGCACTGCGGACTTTTAAGTGAAAAAAATTTTTAATTATGAGCATCCTACATCAAACACAAACTGACCGAAACCGCTAAAGCCGCTTGCTATCGCCAAAAATTCCGTTTGCAAAGATTTTTATTGCGGGTCAAATCTCTGCGGGGAACTGTAAAAAGCCTGTGGATCAATTCCTTTAAACTCTGGCTTTCATTGTTTATTCTAATTTCCCAGTCATTCATCTTTCAATTGAAAAAACTTATCAAACTTATGGTCTAGACTGATGAGAAAAGAAATGACAGACTTGCATAAACTTGCCTGGCAGCGCTCAGCTGCTCAATGATTCGTTATTTTAGCTTTTAAAAATTTCTTTCGTCTCGTAAATCTTTTCCTTTCCAGTAATACCGATGTACGTGTAATACAATTATCATTGGTTTTTTAGAGGAATCTTGGGTCATCCCAGGTACTCGAAAAAAAAAGCTTTCTAAAAAATAGACGAACGTGCTCTCAAATACACGCAAATAATGAGATTTCTCCTTTTCTTGGTTTTAATTACAAGTTTTTCAAGGTACAAAGAATTCAGTGAACGTTTCAGCATGTGCGGCTCGCTATGGCAACGTTTTGGATCATTCAATTGTTTTTCGTGAACTATTTCATCGAGTAAGACCAATTTGTACCTACCGTAATGTGTGTTTATCACACGAATCTTGTAGGAGAGCTTACAGTAGAACCTGGACCAAACATTTTGGCTAAAGAAAGAGAAAAAAGAATACAGTTATGGAAATATCAAATTTCATGCTGTGCTAAACTAACATGCCAACAGCAGGAACAACAACAGCAATGACAGCAATAGCAACAACAATAGCGGCAACAGCAACAGAAACAGCAACGACGAAAGAAACAGCAACAGAAACAGCAATAATAGCAACAGAAACTGCCACAGCAAAAGTAACAACAACAACAATAACAACGACAGCAACAGCAGCAACAACTACAGCACAGCAACAACAACAAAAATAAAATCTAAAGAAACTGTGGTGAGGTGTCGGTGAGATAATATAACAAGGTAATTTGGTATTATCAGCTGAGTTTATAATGTAGATTGGTCAGCATAAAGAGTTTCGAGTGTTAGCCCCTCGCCATCGTTCTGACGAAAGACTAACGCTCGAAACGTCACCAACAAAAATATATCCAATTGTTATTGGCTTTATATACAGACATCCCAGAAGTGATGGGTCATTAATTCATCTAACCTTATAACAGCAATAAGAGAGTTCAGTTGAATCATAAGGGAAAAAATTGTTGGCCTTTGGGGAAGTTAATAAAGATTTCTTTAAGTTCAACCATACGTGCAAAACTTGGAATTTTGAGACGTGCCATTTGATTTAGGCATTTGCTTGGTCTGCATTTCGGACAACCTTTCGCTGTCTTTTTATGGTGGCTTGTACATGACCCACTTACTTAGAACGTAGATATCATCAAGATTTGGGATGTTCGGTCTAACAGCGGAATCGAGACGTTATCTTTTCAACACTAACTTTATTTGAGATAAGAGTTGAAACCTAAAAGCGTAAATAAAAGCTAAGTTAAGCACAATAAACAAATGACAAACGAAATGAAACAGAAAGATACTTACGTTGATAATGTCAAAATAAAACTGCGACCATAAATAACCGCTTATTGGAAAAGAAATCTTGAGCAGACAACTGCGCTGAGAACGACTCCTGGATAATTTGACTAAAAACACTGATTATGATATAATGAAAACTAGATTTAAATACATGTGGCCAGCGTAACTACGTGCGAAAGTAAAAGTGTAAATAGCGAAAAACGACAACAAAGTGAATAGAAAACACCAACGAGGAGGCATGCGAAGATAAAAGAAATAAATGAATAAAACATCCCAAAACTACCTAGAAAGCTTTGAAATAGAAATGTTTGCAGTTGTCAGCAATGTTAGTCGGTCTTGCAAGCTATGTAACTAACGTGATCATTGTAATAATCACAAAGTACGAAGTACAGAAAAATAAGGACTGACACATAAACAAATGACTTACCTCATTGCACCGATGCACTTTTTTTTAATGTAAACCTAAATGAAGAGACAGAATTCCTCCTCACTACAGCGCAAGATCGAGGTCTTCGTACAAATTACACCCCCCCCCCCCCCAAAAAAAGAAAATCGACAAACAGGATGTTTCATCAGTGTGTGGGCCGTGTCGAAGAAGAGAGAGAGAGGTAACTCTGAGCTATATCATGGCAGAATTTAAGAAACTGGCCTGAGTTTAGTATATGAACTGGAAATATGACAAGACTGTCAAAGTTGTTCATGGGCACATTTCAAAGGCATTTAACCGCTGGCAGTGTAAGAAAATGGCCTAGTCAAATAGTTAAGGGCCTTTGGATTAAAACCTGTTGTTTTTCTGGGAAGGAGGGAAAGATCGTCTCGCAATACTGATCTGAGTCTCTGTGGCTCAGTGATAGAGCATCGGAGCACGGCGAAGGTCTGAGGTTTTATTCCTCATGGGGACTTCTTTGTCCCACGCTCGTGACAAGACGGAAAAAAACATCATTCTCAAATATCACTACTGTTTCTTTTTTTATTATTTTTATTCAATTACGCGATTCAAAGAAAATCCATTACCTGACTCGTGAATTCCGAGTTAAATTGCACTTGAAAACCGATATGGCACTCATCACTTCGCGATTCGTGCGATATCGGTTTTCGCGTGCAATTTAACACAGAATTCCCTTTTCAGTAATTAGTTTTCCTCAAGATTTCAAGATTCGTTTACTGTGCTTTAAAGCAGTACATAGTATACCACCTGATTACATTTTTAAAACTTGTTAGTTTAAAAAATTCTTACTATAAACGAACTGAGGTCTAATCGGAATCTTGTAGCGATAGCCCCGAGTTCTCCACACAAGGAGCAAGGGCTTTCTTCTCTACCGTCCCGTACCTTTGGAATAGTTTACCTAGTGACATCAATGGCCTGGGCTCTATATTTAATTGAAATCTAAAAAAAGTTTAGTTTTTTGCCGAGCTTTTAGTTTGTTACCCTTGTTATTTAGTGTTTTTGTCTTCCTGAGAGAATTATTAGGTTTGTTGCTATTTTCTTCTAACTTTTTATTAATTTTAGTTAGCTGTCATTATCAACGTCAATTTTATTTTCTGTGAAGCGCATTTGATCATACGTGTATGTAATTTACGCCATATAAATTCTAATTTTAATTGATAATAATTAAAGATAACTGAGAGAAAGATTTCAGCTGTAAATGCGGTCCAAAAATGTTCATGCAAGGGTGAGTGAGAAAGAAATTTGCATATCGAGTCCTCGACATACCTTAATGGAACTACGTAATCAAATGAGGTAAAAGCCAGCCTAAGGCTGTGTAAACACAAATTATGCACATCCGCATCGAAACTCTAATGACGCTCTAGCACCAATACCTAAGAGGTGCAGTTCTTATCTTTTTTGGTTATCTACTCGAAGATCCATGTTCAGCAGTTACTCAATCAACTATTGTCACTTAAAAGAGAGGCTATGGTATTATTTGAATGGAATTTGAAATGAATCGGTCAATGAGACAGAAGAAATGAACAACGAACTAAGAGATCCACTTGATAGAGTGAGCAATTCGCTTCGCCGAGCGGTGAGTATCAACAAAAGTAAAGAGACAGATCTAAGAACCACCATGAAATCGATACAACAGGAACGACGGAGAAGTTTTAATTCTTGGTCTCTACGGCAAGAGAAGTTTCTTCGAGCCAAACAGAACCTTGTACCATCAATATTGTCTGATCAGCCTTCTCAGCTGGAAAGCTTCCCAAATTCCGACGCTTACCAACAGATTAAAACAAGGAAACGACGGATCACGTTTGTCAAAGCTGTGGCACCAGTAACTTTGAGTGGAGATAACGGCAAAAGCAGAACTCTTAGCGAACAAACCACACCGAAGGTGCCAAATATAGTGGAGGATCGAAATATTGATGGAAAAAAAAGAAAGAAATCTAAAGCACAAGTTCTGCCACAGGTGATTACATTAGCAAACAGTAGTAGGTTCTTTCAAGAGCACAACAAACCGCGGCGAATCAGTAGAGATCACAGGCATGTATTCAGCAGTAATTTAAATGAAAATAACTATGATAGCACCAAGAATCCAGTTAAAGAGGGGGTCAGAGCTAGAAAAGTGAGCACCGTCTCCTCTCCGTTACAAAGGAAACAACAGAGCACTTCGTCGATTACTGATGGCCTGTCACAGGTTCAAAGCATACGATCTGAAACGGATTTTACTAAAGGACGAATTGGTTTAAATCCCATGCCAAGCATTGAAGAAAATGGGATAACTAGCAGTGAAGGAATAAACAAACCCCCAGGAATACAAGCCCACAGAAAGGTCTCAAAATTTAGCAACCATGAAAACTCCCCTAATATCACCGCGACAGAGGAAGATGAAGGCAAACAAACAGCTAAAGCAAGATGGAAAACCGTGAGGGATTCTCTTCCAAAAATCACTGCGAGTAAGAAAACTGACAAAAGCAAATTATCCATGTTGGAGCTCACTAAACTGTTTGAGGAAATTCGAGAATGTCGATACCTCCGTGTAGGAAGTAATTCGAGATACACAGATCATACAAGTCACAGTAGCAACATTTGCAAATGCTTGGCATGTGCTATTAAGGACAAAAATAAACTAAAAAATCACTTAAGCGCTTCAGATTAACCAGGCTTATCGCTTTCATCCGGATTACAGATTTCATTTTGGTTTTACAGCCCAAAGCACTTACAGTTATTAGTGTCTAATGAGTGCTTTCAATCATCTGTCTAGTCCAGGAGTTTAACATTATGTATGTTCAGAAATACAAGGATTCATCTGCTGCAATCATCGTACAGCTGAAATGTTTACATTGGTGTTCCATTCTTTTGTTTCCAAGGAGCTCACAAGATTGAAACCAAAATTGTTAATGAATACTAATAAAGACAAGCCATATTCTTCAAACAAACTGACAGTTTTATTCAAGCTACACAAAACTAGTAGCATTTACACAATTTTTTGAATATTTTACATTTTGCTCCTTAACTCGATTTCCACTTGACAAGTAGGATTTGCAATTAATCATCGAGTTGGCAAAGCAGTGCAACACCTCTCTTGATCCAGTGATTCTGAGGTTTGTCAGTAGGTAACATCACTGGCATCACATAATTGGTTGAGTGGCCCGTCGTTGATAGAGTTCCTCGTCTTTCACTTGTCTTATACACTGGACACTTGTATTCTTGCCTGTCTTTAAAATCTGCAATTTTCCCTAAAAAAGAAAGAAAAAACAAAACAAAACAAAACGGTTATGCTAGGGTCAATTTAGTAATTAGCAAAGCTAACTTTCACTTGAAATTTACTACTGATAAAGCACCAAGAAACTTGTGGCTTACGGTATGAATGTTTAACCTTTTTTCCTCACAATTTCTTACCCTGCAAGATACCTCACCAGTGTCATGCCGTAAATTAATTTTCAGACAAGATTATACCTGTTAAATTAGTTTCTTAACATTAGTTGGACATGAAGTGAAGGTTTGGGAAAACTAACTTCATGAAAATGGTGGTTGAGAAGGGTTAAGTGTTTCATACAGAAGATACAATGTGAATACGTCTCATGGAGATTGTTAAAAACCTAAGGATATACACAATTATATCTGCTCCTCTCAACAGCTCACGCGCACACCAAGCTGCAAAAAATTGTTTGTGCTGATTGAGGACCAAATCTCGTATCAACGCTTTGGTTTTCAGTACATAAATTTTCAAAATTTTTTCCTGTTTAAATTGAAGCGATCGTCATCTCATGCCAATAAAATCGAAATCAGATATGGACATGAGAGGATTTCGAACGTCCGTAAGAATTATTCAATGTAAGAAATTTCTAAACAAATTATACGCTTCCTATTTTTTATATCCTCGGTACACACTGTACAATATCTTACCTGGTTTCACCCATATAACTGGTATCGTGTCATGGAGAATCTTTGGCAATGACTCACCGATCAAACCTCTGTTAAACAATCGAATGTTAATATGTGAAAATATAGTCGTAGGCTGAACCAAGACAAAATCATACTCTTCTCACAAACCTCTTTCGATCCCACCGAGCGCCCTCCAAAAATAGACCGTGTACATAAACTCCATCACTAGGTGGCTTTTCTGCAGTGTCTCCAGAAAGAACCTAAAGTAAAACGTAAAGGTGAAAATTCAGCGTAGATCAGACATTGCCGGCATTGTACTGAGTGCTGAAATTAGTTACTTCTGAAGACGGTTGGGACCGTTCCTGGTGGGCGTCCCTATTGCACACGTTATTTATAAGAGCGTGTGCATCAAGTCGTCTACCAAGCTTTCCCGATTTATGGGCATCATCAGATAGAACCCAATTATGGTGCCTTTATACAACTTCGAATAACTACTGCTATTGTGAAACTCACTTCAAACTCAAAGCCCAGCAAGTCAATCGGTATAGTGTACTTCCTTGCATAATTCTGCTTTGCACCAGTCAAGAAAGCCTAAGAAGGGGGCACAAACAATATAGGTCGTTATCAACTTAAACGTCAGAGACTACCACTGCTGATGAAAAATTCCCAAAGAGAAAAACCAGGTCTCAAAGTTCGTTGGTTTAAATTTAAAACGAAGTATTAGAGACGGAGTCAATAATTCCTATGGAATAAAATTTAGTAAAGAATGACGAGAATCACGCGGTGAACAACTTAAATAAATATGCTGACATTCACCGAGTTCCTGATCATCCTCTGTCTACAAAATAATTCCCATGACCTTTGCATCGTAATCAGTTATCTGTGCTCCTCAAAATGTAGGATAAATCAAGCAGACATATTCCACACTCACTTGGAAAGAGTAGCATGCTTTAATGATATACCGTATTTCCACTACTGGTTTTTCTTAAAGCCAAATGATGTTTGATGCAGTCTTTAATGCGCTTGTAACCAAATGAGAAAAAGGACATCTTGACAGCCATATTACACAGTCCATTACCAGTACAATTGGTTGCTAAAGAGCTTGTAA